CTTGTTATGTATTTATTGTTATTTGTTGTTTATTCCATAAAGTTTTATTCCTTGCGTTTGCACCAATCAAGCGCGAATCAAGTGTCCTGGGGCAGCACCCCTCCAAACACTCCTCTGCAAGCAGCTGGCAAAAGGGGAGAGAGAGAACAAGGTTCCATGGCAAGTTTGTAGCGTGGATCTGGCCCTGAAGTGACTTCCGTCGCTTAACCAGATCAGTCACAGGGCCATTGGCCATGATCATCTTACCTCCCATTGGCCAGGCCAATCACGTGGCCACACCTAACTGCAAGGGGTACTGGGAAATGTAGTCCAGCCATGTGCCCAGGAGGAAGTAGGAAACCCTGATGGAAAATGAGCCAGTCCTTGCCAGGGTCTTATTATTGTCCCCATCATTTCTGTTATTATTTGCACTTATCGCCTGCAGAAATGACGCTTGACGGTCACCCATATTTCAGGACCCGAGGAGGGTGAGAGGTGCTGCCTGGTATGTCTGGAAGGCTTCCTGAAAGAGGAGGTATGGATGATGTGGCTTTGAAGAAGACAGAAGCCAAAGATCTGAGAAGGGGGAGAAGAATAAGAATCTGGCGTGACATCAGGGAAGTCGTTCCTTCGTTCCTGGCCGCGCGGAGCCTGGTGGGCCAGGGTGAGTGCCAAGGGGACCCAAGGGACCGAAGTGCCTGATTTGTATTCAGAGTCTCCTGGTTGCTTGAGGAAGCAGATTGCCAGATAAGATACAGGACACCCAGTTAAACCAGAATATCAGATAAACAACGCATGATTTTTTTTAAGCCTAAGTATATCCCAAATACGGCAATGGGACGTACTTATGCTAAACTATTACTGTCCTTCTGGAATTCAAATTTAACGAGGCATCCTGGAGTTTTATTTGCGGGGAGGACAGAATGTAGGGGAGGTCAGGTGCTGGTGACTGATGGTCATGGATGTGACATGGGCCCGATGTGCAGGCCATATGCCCGGAGGACTTTGACGTCTGCCCTGGAAGGCTGTGAGTGTAGGAGGGACAGGCCCTGACTTGGGTAAGGGGCCCTCAGACCCAACCCCGGGGCTTGGCAGCCACCTGCCCCCATGGATTTCCCCAGCCGAGGGCCTTTCCTCTTCAGCAGGGCTGACATTTGGGGCCAGATCATTTTTTTTTTTTTAAGTTTTTATTTAAATTTCACTTAGTTAACATACAGTGTGATATGAGTTTCAGGTGCACAGGATAGTGATTCCACACTCTTGTACATCACCCAGTGCTCATCACGACAAGTCCTTTGTCCCCATCACCTGTCTCACCCATCCCCCCACCCCTACCCCGTGGTAATCAGCAGTTTGTTGTCTGTAGTTAAGAGTCTGTTGGGGCCAGATTTTCCTGATTGGGGGGGGCAACCCCGTTCACTAGGGATGTTGAGCCGCATTCCTGACCCCCGCCCACTCAAGGCTGCCGGGAGCGCTCGTAGTCATGACAACCACAAATGCCCCCAGACCTCGCCCAGTGTCCCCTGGGGGCAGAGCCACGCTGGGTGAGACTCACTGGGTTAGGGGATTCCATTGACCTCCAGGAGACTCTGCATCCCATAATCATCTGACCTACTGAGGTCCTGGGATACCGCACACATTTATACACACGCATCAAGGGGCACCTGGGTGGCTCAAGGGACACCTGGGTGGCTCAGTCGGTTAAAGTGTCCAACGCTTGGTTTCAGCTCAGGTCATGATCTCATGGTTCGTGGGTTCGAGCCCCGCATTGGGCTCTGTGCTGACGGTGAGGAGCGTGCTTGGGACTCTGTCTCCCTCTCTCTCTGCTCCTCCCCTGCTCTCTCTCTCTCTCTTTCTCTGTCAATAAATAAATAAATTAATAAGTAAACATTTAAATACACACAACAAGCGGGAGGGAGAGAGGAGGTAACTCGCAAACACTGGAGGGGTCACCCTGATTTGCACCGCCTGACCCATCGGGGATTTATTCTGGTGTCCAGTGTGAGCTACGGATGAAACTCAATTTTACGCCCAAATGATGAACGCAAGGTTTCTCCCCCTTGGCACTGTGGACCGTTGGGGCTGGGTCATCCTCTGGGGTGAGGCCATCCTGGGCATTGCAGGACAATGAGCCGCATCTCTGGCCCCCCTTTCCCCCCGCCATGCTCGGAGTAGCCCCTGTTCCCCTCCTTGGGGACAGCCGTTACGACTGCTGGTTGCCCAGAGGGCTGAACCACCCCAGCCGCGGACCCCAGGTCTAGGCACTCTAAGAGCCCAGCAAGGAAATGGGTCTGGAGCGCCAACCGGGGCGGGGACGACTGCCGAGTCTTGTCCCTTCCCCTGGTCTTCTGGCCATCGGGAGAAAGCGATACCTAAGTGGCTGCGGTGTGAGAAGGAGGTTCAGGCATGTCCCCCCCCATCCACCGTGACTCATCTGAAGCCTGTCTTATGAGACAAAGAAAGGGCTGCTCATACCGTCCAATAAAACTTTTAATATTTAGAAGTTTGGGCGCTTAATTCTGGCACTCCTGGCTCACGGGTAACGCTGCCCCCTCCAGCGGCTGGCAGCCGGCGGTATCCACAGGCGCACCGGTGACGATGATGGGAACCTTGGCCTTCACACAGGTCAGGGACCACGGCAGATGGACCGTGCTGACCAGCTCATAGCGGGTGCTCATGATCTCGCCGCCCCGGGTGCTGCTGCTCACGGACAGCACCTGTGGGAGGTTGAGGGTGCTGACGATCTTGGTGGTGTCGAAGGGTGCGATCTGGGTGTTGGCCTCCTGCCGGAGCAGCTCACTGCTGTCCTCCCGCGACCGCCGCTCCGCCTTGGGGGTGAAGCCCTCGTACCGCACGTGGGCGTAGAGGGCGAAGACGACCGTCTTGATGCGCTTGCCGGTGTGGTTGCCGATCTCCGTGGTGAAGACAATTCCCTCCCCCGGTGCGAAGGTGTTCTTTTCCATCTGGATCTGAAGGTGGATGGTACCCTGGATGCAGCAATTGTACGAGACTTTCTTCTCAGCCTCCACGAACAGAGGGTTCTGGAATTGGGGAGGATGGGCAACCGTGAGGGGTCACGGCCACGGGATCCGCTCGCCTGCCTAACGTTCCCCCACCATAGCTCCTGCAAGCCTGGAACCGCTGGGACTCTCCTAACTAGGAGGCCCCGAGGTAGGATCTGGAGCCTTGGGGATTTAGCAGCCAAAAGCCTGGCATCGCCTCCCAGCTTCCTTTACTCAATTCCCTTTGCCTTTCTGACTATCAGTTTCCTCCTCTGCAAAAGAAGCCTTTGAAATCCACAAGACCCTGGTTTACCCCCACCTCCATTGCTTACTTGCTGTGTGACCCTGAGTAAGTGGCTTGACTTCTCTGGACCTTGGATTCTTTCTTTCTTTCTTCCTTCTCTCTTTTTTAATGTTTATTTATTTTTGAGAGGGAGAGAAGACAGAGCGTGAGCAGGGGAGGAGCAGAGAGAGAGGGAGACACAGAATCGGAAGCAGGCTCCAGGTTCCGAGGTGTCAGCACAGAGCCTGACGCGGGGCTCGAACCGATGAACTGTGAGAGCATGACCTGAGCTGAAGTCGGACACTTAACTGACTGAGCCACCCAGGAGCCCCACTTTGTTTCTTCTTTTAATGTTTATTTTTGAGAGAGAGAGAGAGAGCACGCCCATGTGAGCAGGGGAGGGGCAGACAGAGAGGGGGACAGAGGATCCCAAGCAGTCTCCGTGCTGACTGCAGAGAGCCCGATGTGGGGCTTGAAGTTTCAAACCGTGAGATCATGACCTGAGCTGAGGCAGGTGCTCAACCACCTGAGCCACCCAGTCGCCCCTGGTCATTGGATTTCTAGACGACAGAAGATGTCTTGCCAGAGACCTAGGGTTTACCCAAGTAGTTCAGACTTTAGGAGAAAATATTCCGGGCTCTGAATCACGAAAAGAAAACTGTAGAGTTGAAATTATGTAACGTGTTTCAATAAATGCCTCAAAAGGCAGCCGTTCTATCAACTTAGCTGCTGGGTTGCAGATAAAGTCACACATTATATTTACTGCGTGGCTTGGGTGACGTTTTACTTTTTATTTGTGAACAATATTCTAAAGGATTCAACGTGATGTGGGGTGGGCTTAGAATAATCGCTCTCCACTTTTGCTGGCTTCCGGTATCTTCTTGCAGAGGAACTTGATACTTTTACAAGTGTGTGTGTGTGTGTGTGTGTGTGTGTGTGTGTGTG